CCCCAGCCGTGAGGGGCCGCCCCCGCTGCCGGCCTGTCCCGGGGGCTCTGAGTGCGGGGGGTGGGCACGGGAAAGAGCGATTTTTTTCATGTTTTGAAGGCTGCCTGCGGGCGCCCGGGTCTAGAGGGGCCCTTGGGGTGTCCGGCAGGCTCTGCCGTGCCTCCGACTGCCCAGGGCCGACGACGGAATGGGCAGCGCTGGCCCCACAGCTGCAGTGTACCCTGGGGGCTTCAGGGCCGCCGCCAAAAGCGGCCTGAGGGTCGGTGTCACGGTTTAGCGTGAGCCTCTCCCTGAACCTCGGCGGAGCCCGAACGCGTGTGTTTGCCAAGGCGCGGGACTGCCGGGAGCCGAACGCCTTCTACTGGCCTGGCCTCCCTTGCTGGGGAGCCGGCCTCTCCGGTCATTGCTTTCGGGGTGGAGGGGGTGAGGGAGTAGCAAAGCAAAATAGCGGTCATTCCAAAACATCCTGTAATTATGAAGCATTTTTTCACGTCTTGCCTACTTCTTTACATCAAGAGAAATTCAGAAATGTCTCTCAGCCCAGCTGTCCTCAGTAGCTCCAGAGTGCCGTGTTGCTGTGAGTTTCCAAGAGGGAAGGCTTTGTGACCCAGCTGGCACTTGTCCACTCCGTTCTTGGGTTACTTGACATCCATCTCAATTTAAAATACGCTGAGGAATAATGTAATTGCCCACCAGGAAGCGAGGATTAGGTTTTAAGGGCTGCTGTTACATATCTGTCAGACATTAATATTCATTGCTGCTAGATGTTGTTTAGTACCAAGGCAGTCCTTGAGCTGCAGGACCCCAGAGTGATTTACATAGGCATCAGTTATGCAATCACTTTCTGAGGGCGCTGAAGTACAATGAAAAAAAGTATTTGGTTGGAGTTCTGAGCTGGTTTAAAATGCACCACTGAAATGGCTAACAGAACAAACTCCTCCGAGTATTTTTGGTCGTATGAATATTACTGGGATTATATAGATCCAATTCCAGTAGATGGAAGCAAGTTGAAGGTTAATAAATGTAAGTATTGTAGAGTAGTAAGTGCTAATCTAGTACAGGAAAAATGTTGTGTAGCCTGTCTCACTGACTTATTTTTTGTTTTTCCTTGCACTAGTGACCATGCCGGATTATATGTGCGTGGTTTGTATGAATGGGTGTCTGCCGTCCAAACTGACTGTGCTCTATAGCAGTTATTGCTAATAGTGAAACTCTTTGCTTTATCTTACAGTATTTGAAATTACAAGGCTGCTGATACTAACTTTTGTTTAGAAGGACAGAGTATTTTTAAGCCATTTCTTAAGCAGAAACCTAATGACTTTCAAATCTGTAGTTTGGGGTGTGAGTTACCTGCTACTATCAGAAAAGTTGACTAAATGAGCAGAGCTTTTTGTAACACTATCGTGTTTTCGTCTTGGGATGTAAGGCTTACATTACAACTGATAAACATTCAAAACCTTACTAAAAGAAGAGTGTATGTTTCCGCTAGCCAGGAACAACAACCTGAAAACATATTCTATTACCTTTCCTCCTTTGATTTAGTGCTACTGAACTGTAAGATAAAGTAATAATATACATTGTTGTCAAAATACTTTATTACCATGGAAGCTGATTCTGCTGAGTTTAGAAGTTTATTTTCAAAGTATAGAATACGAAATAGCATTCACCAAATTCACCCTGCAACAGTTAATTCTGTTTCACACTTGGTTTTGCACAATGAGATAGTAATGCCTGCCTTTCTATGGTTACTTATAGTGACAGGTGTTGGGTTGGTTGGTTTGTTTGTTTGTTTGTTTTTTTTTTTCCTAATGTAACTGCATTTATTAGGTTTTGAAAATGACAAGCTATGTCATGAGGGATTAACTTACCCAAGTATAGTTAGATGGACTGATAAAGATCAAGGGAGAGCAGGTAGGCATGTTTGAGTCACTCAGGCTGTAGGCAGTGTTTTCCCTCGATTTCTGCCAAGAGTCTACCTATGTTTGTATCTTCATTTGAGTGACAAAGCTATGGGCTTTACTGGTTGCTGTCTAGTCTACTGAAGACAACTACAACTGTTCACATATGGTTTCAGAGACTAAAATTGCTTTCCCCAAGGTTATTATAGTGATCTGGTCTGTAAGGAAAATGTGATAGTGTTTCAAAATATTTTCATGTCTCTAATTAACAGTGCAAGAAACTGTCTTTCTAATAGTAAAGATTGAACTGACACTGCTAGGAGCTTCAAGTCCTTCACTTGCATTATGAAACCAAGAATAAGAAAAGGGAGCAAGAAACTCTTATTCTGCACTGCCTCTAGAAAAGCTTTTTTTGTCTATGCTGGTGAACCTAGGGTTTATTGCCCACAAACTTAGAACATCATGTCTTAAAGAAGGTGGTGTAAATATCTACATCCTTCCATATATAAAATCTTGCTTCATAATGTGGTAGAGCAATATTTGGTGCTGCTGGGAGCAGGCAGGTTATGAGCAGCTTCTCTGATTATCTTAATTTTAAAGTTAGGGCAGATAATTACGCCCAAATTCCATCAGGGAAACCCCAAACCTCTGACTTAAGTTAGCTGTAGGTCTCTGACAGGTGGCTGACAACAAAAAAAACACCAAAAATCAGGACTCTTAACCTTTCCCTTTTTTTCTCATTAATAACATATTCCTAACATTTGGGTTGCCTGATACATAGTAGAGGTGGATTTGTGTTACTACATTTCCCTCCCTTGCAATTTATAGGATATTTCTCTTTACCCAGCTGCCTGTTTTCTTGAAACTTGTAGAAATTGTGCTTCTGAGAGAAGATGCTCACCCTCTGTTTAATTTAATTTAAATGCATTCATAGTTTCATGAAGGAAATTACCACACACAAGTGTGTGAGTGCTCATGAGAGATCTCATAAGCCTTATTTCCATTAAGAAAGCATAGTAAACTCATCTCTCTATTTTTTTTGTTGTTGTTGTCCTCTCCCCATAAAGAAGTAGAGAAGTCTGCCACCTTTCAGGTCTTTTTTATATTCTAAGGAGATGATTTATACAATCATACTTTGTGTTTATGCATCTCCTCTGCTCCTGCAGTAACTCCAACTGGATCTAGTTACAAAGGAGTGGAGACCTCAGAAAGGATACAAAATATCTGTAAATTCCTACAGCTGGTGACCAGATAATAGGGGAAGAACATTGTGAGCAAAGACCTTTACTGACAAAAAGGCTGCAGTGTGAGATCATGACCTGTTGGGCACCAAAGGAAAACACCTTTGGGCTCAGCTTTGGGAAACAAATCGACAGGAAAACAGGCTTCTGTATTTTAGCTGCTCAGCTCCCAGGCAAAGAAGAAAAAGATGCAGGTGTAGGGTTGTACTTTTTTTTTTTTCTTTCCTCTCTGCAGTTAATGTTAAGGTAATTTCAGTTCCCTGAGGCAGCTGTTTATGTAAGGCATTTCCTAGGCAGCTTGTCAAAAGGGAGTTCTGCTCCATGATTTGTGTCTTTTAAAGATCTTGCATTGGCTGTACCAATTTCTAAACTAAAAATGTTGGACTTGGTTTTCTGATAGCCAGGGAAGTGAAACCGTTTGGTTGGGGTTTTTTTGTTGTTTGCTTGGGTTTTTTTCTTCCTATAGAAATAGACATTTTTCCATGTCAGCAGTCTAGGAGGAATGGAAACTGCATCATTTTGATAGTTTTATTTTTCCTTCTCCAAATACCAGTGGGAGAACAGTGAGTTAAGAGTTATAAAGAAAACAGCAAGGAAAATAATTCCACAATTGGTTATTTTTTTCCTTGTTTTGAATATAAGCACTAGTCAAGCAATGAATATACTTTGTAGGTTTTCCTGTCTTTGCATAACATTTACATTGTTATACCTTCAAAAGCCACTGTTGGGATTATTGTCTTCATGTGCTTGGAACTATGTAGACAAAGTTAGTTCAGCAAGTCCTTGCCCTTTGTGCTGGAGATGAAATGTAATAATCTCCCCTCAGATAGCCACAAACATTCCAAGTCTGGCAAAACTCAGGATAGCTCCGGGATTACAATAACTGCTGCACTGATGTTCCAGAGGGCCTCTGCTGACTGACTGCAATGGGACCTGAGAAGTTTGTTTAGGTGCATTGCTGAATCAACCCAAGTGAATCATACAGTCGTTACAACACCTGGGATGGGATTATAGCTCCCTAATTCAGTTTCGCCTGCTTGTTTGGGGTTTTTTATTATTTAATGTAAAACAGACACCTGAATCTCTGCACTTTCTTTCCTCTGTTATGTGACCTGTCCCTGAAGCATTGTGAGACTGTTTGTCTCATGAAAATGAATCTAAATCCAGCTATAAAGTCATGGTCTTGCTTTGTATTAATAGTGTTGTACAGATCTCCATTTTGTATAAAAATAATAACAAGCTTAATTAGCCCATGAACTAATAGGCTGTTTAAAAACATCTGCACACACACACAAAAGGTGGCTGTAAAATTTAGCAATAGAAGAGCTTTTTATATACTGTTAAAATACATTATCCCAGTTTTAAAAAAATCCTAATTGCAGGACTAAAACCAGGAAGTTTCTGTTTATCCCTCAAGAGTTCAAACTCCCCCTGAGACATGGAGCAAATTTGATTAGCTGCAGTGAATTCCATGCATTGTATTAAATTTGCTTTTAAAAGATGAAACCACAATAGCTCTGATAGAGAATTCTGTAAACCCAAACTTTTCATTTCTGTCCTGGTTTTGAACACTTCAGAACTTTGAGCTTTTCAGAATATTCCTGGACTGTGATCTTGCGCTTTTTTTTTTTTTTTTTTTTTTTTTTTTAAACAGAAGTTCCCTGATTCTCCCTTGAGGAGTTGGCGGGCAGTAGCGCTCCATCACTCTTTCCCATAATAAATTTGGGAAGAGCAGGTCAGAGTATTGACCCTCACATGCTAATTTACCATCCTCTGAATTAAAGCTCAGTAAAACTTTTTTTAACAGAGGAAGAATAAAATAAGATGACCCTCCATATTCTTATTTCTCAGTAGCCCAGCCAAAACTTGGCTTTCTGATAAGACTCCGGCTGGATCAGCCCTAGTTTTAGATTTAAAAAGAGCTGGAATAATCCCCCCTAATCTCTTTGTGGCTCTGGTGACAACACGTCCTGAACTTTTTCACAAAGAAACACCTAATCAAACATATTGGACCTGTTTCAAAGAACACAATGTTTTCTGTCCTTTCAGATGGAAGATTTATTTTATCTTGGTCAATATTTGTCTCTGGGGTCAATGACCCTTCTTTTTCACCTCAGTCTAAGTGAGTAGCCAGTCATGAATTTGGGGCATTTCTCGACTTGTGCCCTGCAGAACAACCAACCTTTTCAAGGCTTTAACTGGGACGTTCAGCACCACCACATTGATCCCAGGAAGTGGTGCTTTTGAAACACTGACCAAATGTGCTACTGGAGCAGGAGCAGATTCATCCCATCTAACAGCAAGCCCCTAACTGAGTCAGGAATTTCAGCAACACCGTAGCCTTTATTCATGAAAGAGCAACTCCCTTTTATCCTCCAACCAGTTCATACTCCCATTAGCATGGGTTTCCCTTGTCAGGGATCAGTTCATCTTTTCTTTTACTAATTAAAAAACCCCAAAGTTTTCATCTGAGTCAGGGATAACAGTAGTGGCAGGATTTTAGCCTTTGGTGTATAATAGGTTTAAACCAATTGTGAACCCATACTTCAGTGCTAGGAATCCAGTTGTTCCTTAAAGAAACCACTTAGTCCTGATAAAGTAGGTTGCATTTTGAACAATTTTATGTTGAATACAGAAGTATTGCAGCTGAACAGGGGAAGGTTCACATTCTCTTCCACTGGACTGATGTGCTGTGAGAGTCCCAGGCACTTTTCCATAAGCTTTCCTTAATATTTCTCTTGGTAGAAAATATCCTCAAAGCTAGTATTCCCTCCCTAAAAGTATCATCTTAAAGATCATGGGTTGTTGTACTTTTTCACCTAAGAGCAGGATTTGGCTATAGACCAAGCGGTAATGTCTCGATTTTGAGTACCACACTGCTTACTGCACTGCAATTTTGTAAAAGAAACCTTATCCCCTGCAAAGAGCTGAAACTGTGAAGACCATCAGTGCTCAGTATTATCTTCTAAATATACCTATAGTGCTAGTCACCACCACACTCACTAAATTTTTTTTTCCAATCTCTCCCCCAGCCCTGGCTGTGCACTGTTACAATAAACTGCTAGGAGACTCTTAACACTTTTAACAAATTGGCACTCAGATTGCTCTCTCTCAAGGGTTTAATTACATTGAATTAATTAAATGACACACCTTTCTTAGAGATCATAAATTATATTGCTGTGTTTTCTATTTGCTATGGTACCAGTGACAGAATTACTGTGTTGTGTCCACAGATTCTATTGTCATAGCCTTTTGGGTTGGGCTTGCTGCGTTTGTGACGTTTCTTTTCCTTATTTTACTGTATATGTCCCGCTCTGGATCAACTCCAGTAAAGTAAGTACAAACAGAGATAAAGTAAGTATAGATTAGTGTGATAAAATAATCTGCATGAAACAGTCATTCACTACTTCAAGTGATTCAGCAATTTCCACATTTATAATTGCACACAGAGATGACACTTTTTATGTTATTATTTGGTCTGAGTGTCTCTCAACCCACAGCTATTCACTATTTGTATTAATCACCTGAATAAAAATAAGTCCATAACTGATAAGGTTTGCAGGTGACAGAAAGATAGAACAGTAAACCACGAGGCTAGGCAGAGCAGTCTGAACTAGGTATGTTGGCAAACAACATGCATTTTCCATATGCCAGCTCTCCAGGTTGCATACTATGGAAGTGTCTGTTTTACACACAGAATGGGAAAGTATCTCTTGTAAACCATGCCTGAGAAGGAAGTAGGAATCATGGTGGTAAAGCAGATGAATGCAAGCTCCCAGAACAATTCTGTAAGCCTTGATCAAACTAAGAGAAAATTTATTAGTGAGATCAGGAAGATAATAGTATGTGTGTGTCAAACAATCACGGTGTGCCATTGCTTAGATCATCCCAAGAATGTTGTACTTATGTTAGAATGCACTCTTTAAAGGGGGTTTTAAAGAAATTGGGAGGAATTGGGGGAAAAAACTGATTTGAGTTCCAGAAACATATCTTACAGTGAGAGAAATCAACCCAAATCAATTAGTTTCTCAAGGAGCAGTGGCTCAAAGATGCTCCTTGTGAACTGTCTGCATCTTTTAGAATGCTAGTGTCCAGTTCAAGAGCCCCATGACAACTATCAGATGGTAAAGTACCCTACTAAAATACAGTGGCTGGAAGCTGATGCTACACAAACTCAGATGTACCACATATTTGATGTGAAGGTAATGATTCACTGGAACAATTTACAGTAGAATATTAAATGGGTTGTGATTAATTCTTTTTTTTACTTGGTGACTGAACATCTGAAAAACATGCATTTGTATTCATCCAAAAATTACTGTGAGGAGACTATGCTCCGTCTTTCTCTGGCCTGTTATGCAAAAGGTTAAGCAAGCTTCTTTCTTGTCTAAAATAAGTGTATGACTCAGTCCCTAAACACTTTTAAATTCTTGTGGGTTAAATTAACTCACAGAAATTACTGACTTATAACTGGCTGAAGATCTGGGCAAACTTTCCATTTGTTTGTTTGTTTTGCAAATCCTGGCAGGAGTATGACAATACCTTCCTTTCCAAAGATGGCCCATATCTGAACTTCTGTCCTTCAGCATAGTAAGCCCATGGTAAAACTACAAATATGCTTAGCGAGAGTATTAACCAGTTGGAAGTGTGGATGTGAAATGACTTGAAACTCCTGCCAATCATGGATGTGTAGCATTCACAGTGCCAGTCAGTTTAGTAGTAAGACAACATGGTTAAAACTGGATTTTCTGTTGGGACAGAATCTCCTGGCATTTGTCTCAGGCCATTTCATTAGTGATTAAAGTTTGCAGGTGTGATTCAGTCACTCTCACCTGAGTACCTTACTTTAAATTCCAGTAGAGTACTATTTGGCATTAGGGAGACAGAGATGGGTCTGAGCTAGCGAGTAGTCCAGTAAAGCCCAATAGCACCTTCAGGTTCCAAGTGTGTACAGCATATCTAGCTCTACAGACAGAGATTCCAGAGCCCCATGTTTGTGTTATCCAGACTGTTTTTTGTAGCTGGGTTTGATGAAACAGGGAAATATCCTCCAGATGGATGGAATAGCTAATCTATTCTAGTAGCATGTTTGTACCTGAAACCTCCATGACTGAAAAGAGGGGCTGCATAAACACCTTGCTGTTGACAGGCACATCCCCAGTCTCCTAAAAGACTATAGACCCTGTCCTGTGAATTTAGCTGCGGTGGGTGTGCCTGATGGAGACGCAGTGCCCACAGATGTGCAGCAGCCACATGTTGAATGGGAATGTAGTTCTAATGCTGCCTGTGATTTTGAACTTTGTCTAAGGACAGGTTTCTGTTTGCAGCGTTCTACATTTGGTTTACTTTGTTTGCTGCTAGTTTTTCTGGCAAACATGTTTTATGCAAACAAGGATGCATTTGCCCACTGCTCCTCCTAATCTGATCAGGACGCAGAAAATTCAGCTCAGCAGATTAGGCAGAGGTTCAAGATTAGGTCACAAACAAGCAGAGGGAAACAAGTATAATATGGCAGTAAAAAGGAGCACTAATATTCTAATTTATTGGCACCCTAAGGCCTCTGGCATGCTCACAAAAGGTAACAACAACAACAACAACAACAAAAAAAAGGCAATTTGCCCAAACAAACCACAATGCAGGAGGCAAGCTAACAATATCAGAAACACATGGAAAGGGACATAAAATTACAGGGTAACAGAGGTATGTTCCCATTAATTTACTGTTCCTAAAAAGCTGGCAGAATTCTATATACACAAAAATCTCAGAGTGTTTGGGACACTTAAACAAAAGTATTAATTTTAAAAAAATTTTCACTTTTGCATTGTGTTACTGAGTGAAATACTGGGCTTTAGAATATCCATATTTATCCATAATATGTTCAATTTTGCTCATTGAAAGAGTTGTTGTGAACAAAGGAAGTCTAGGAATGTTCTGTGGAGAGCCCGGGAATCATTAATGGAAAGCAATACTGGTTGAGATTAGTTTAGGTTTTGAAATCATCCTGTCATCATTTTTCTAGGCTTCTAACATACTAGAAGAAAAGAATTTTAGGACTGAAGAGATTATTCAACACCCCACCCCCAAACTTGCCCTTTTTTATTGAGTTCCATTTGGTTTTTAACCCCCACTCCAATTACACTTCTCCCAATCCCAGCAATAAAATGTGAGATGCCTGAAAGAAGATCCTCCTGTCATCTTCTTTATATGCAATCCATCCATTATCCTTGGCATGATGATAATTTTATTTCTGTATTGAAATCTGCCTCCTCTTTTCCAGTGATAATTCCGATATATTCACCCAATGAACGTACATACACGTCACTGGTCAAGGCTGGAGAACTTTTACCTTCACTGTTTCTGTGCTCATCCATCTCTCTGTCAAGCCCTGGAGATATAGGGCAGCGTGTACTCTTCCAACTTGCTCAACCCCCTGGTGAAACAAGCCTGCTTTCATGCCTGGCAGTTCATAAGAGTGTACCTTCTTGCTTCAGCTGACTGTTGAGCAAACCTCCACCGCCACATGTCAGCTGTCTTTATTCGCAGCTGGATTTCTGGGGGGTCCCTGAAGATTACATTTTGGCCTTGTACAATATGCAGTGATTATATCTCTTCCACCACTGTGTACACCAAGGTCTTACTATTTTAGCAAGGGCATGTAATCTACAACAGTATAGTCTGCTTTTTACCTGCATATCCACACAGAAAACAAGTCAGTGTCAGAAGTGTCTTCTGAAAGGCATATGCAACAACTAGATCTGCTTATGGCACAGCATAATCCTTAGACACTGAGACGTCCTGGACACAACTCCATGATCTGATTGCACCACATTCTTCGCTGCAATACAAAGTAATCTGGTGCCAAGTCAGATGAGTGAGTTGGGGAGAGGGGGAAGGGTTGATGCTTGCAAGACAGCTGCAGCAAGGACTCCATGTCCCAGTCCCTTTTGTCACCATTACACTATCCCTACAGAAATAAAGAAAAAAGGTTCGAGGCATTGGACCAATTAATTCAAACCCAGTAGCATGCCAAGGCAGCTGATTACCACACTGATGTAATCAAGAGCCACTATTAACATTCGCTTCAACTATGTTTCTTGCCATCCAAAATGATACAGAAAAATAAGGGTAGTGGCTGGACGGAGCTCCTGGCCAAGGCTGAAACTTCATGCAGTGAAGTGGAGCAGTGAAAGTTCCTTCCTGGACCTCTTAAGAGGACGCACAAGTTCCCCATGCATATCACTGGAGGCTGTGCATTCCTGACAGCTGTGACTGAGACTGCTGTGGACATCCAAAATCTTCTGGCTATCTCTTTCCTACCAGACAGTGTAATGTGGGGGAGGGAAAAAAGAAAAAGGGGGGGGGGGAGGTACCCAGAGAGTTGGAAGATCCGCATGTCTCATTCTTTGTCAACATTTCTTGCTGTCATAGTAGCCACAGAGAGGATCAATCAAGGTACTCTGAACTGCATGGCAGCATGAGCCTTGCTGGCTTTGGACAGATTTCTTGCAATAAGAAATGTTTAGATATTTTCCCCCTGACTACCACCAACTTTTACCCAACATTTCTGGGGCATATTGTAACACAGTTTGAGGATTCCTCTTGTCAAACAGAGATGTGGGAGCTGGCTTGAAAACACTTGTTCTACAGCCAGCTTTCTTCTCAGTTTGCAGGTGATAGTTTCCTTCATGGACAGATAACCACTGATTCAGTGGCCAGACTGTACAATGTCCATGTGCTCTTTCAATTTTTTGCTCCGTCCAGATCAATTGCAACAGCTGCTTCATTCCTGGAACTGGAGAACTAATTTGGATATTTGACAGCTCAGGGATTTTTGTCCCTAGGACAAAAAAAAAAAAAATCTATAGCAATATCCTAGATCTCACATGAAGGCAAATAGTTTTCAGACAGGGTTTTTTTTAAGCTTATCTTTAAGGTTATGATATTCATTAGTGAACAATATAACCACTATATATTACAGTAACAAAAAAAGTATCTATTTCTGTACACAAAGGCAGTGAATCTGACACTCAAAGCATCATATTCTTTCAGATAACAGTGAGACGTCTCATATCTCTACTTGGGCATGCTACCTTGTCTTTGGGGAGAGGAAGTCCTTTTTAATACTATAATAATAAGATCCTCATGAGAGGTACTTCTCTGGCTAAGCAGACCATGCTCCTGTTTTCTACTTTCTTAAGGCAGTTGTTCCTGTTCTTTACTATCTTCAGCCTTCTCTTTACTATCATAGTAGACTGTTTCGTGGAATCAAGGTAATTTGTCTGTCTATAAACTCACTTAAGATATAGTCAACTGTGTTCTCTACCTGTTATCTCTCACTAGTGGTAATCACATATTTTCACACCCAGGTATCTTGAAATTCCTAGACGAGACTGGCTAAGAGCTCAGAAAGAATGTGGTTTCTCAGTGGTACTTAAATCTCATGGTCAGGACCCTCACAAGACCAGTATTTGAGGTCTACATGACTTGTCTGCATAGATTACAGCATCTGTCCTTGTGTCAGAAGAAGCTGAGACAGCTAAGTCATTACAGCTGGCTTCCCATATACAGTGTTCCTGGGGATCTATCCCAATTTCTCCCCAATAGTTTCTGAACTCCATAGAATCACAGAATCATTTAGGTTGGAAAAGACCCTTGGGATCATCGAGTCCAGCCATCAGCCCTACTCTACAAGTTCTCCCCTATGCCATATCCCCCAACATCTCATCCAAACGACCCTTAAACACATCCAGGGATGGTGACTCCACCACCTCCCTGGGCAGCCTATTCCACTGTCTGACCGCTCTTTCTGTGAAAATTTTTTTCCTAATGTCCAGTCTGAACCTCCCCTGTTGCAGTTTAAAGCCAATCCCTCTTGTTCTATTGCTAATTACCTGTGAGAAGAGACCAGCACCAACCTCCCTACCATGTCCTTTCAGGTAGTTGTAGAGAGTTTTGAGGTCTCCCCTCAGCCTTCTCCTCCTCACACTAAACAGTCTCAGCTCCTTCAATCGCTCCTCATAGGATCTGTTCTCCAGGCCCTTCACCAGCTTTGTTGCTCTCCTCTGCACTCGATCCAGCACCTCAATATCTCTATTGTATTGAGGTGCCCAAACCTGAACAGAGTATTCAAGGTGTGGCCTCACCAGTGCAGAGTAGAGGGGGACTATCATCTCCCTACTTCTGCTGGGATTTAGATTTAATCTAAAAAGCAAATAATCTTGCTATTCTCAAGCCTCTGGTTTCAAGGGATAAAGCGGTATTTCACACCTCCATCTTTAGAAGAACATTTTCATGTTCACAGAACCAGGTCACTTCAATGTGAGCAGCTGTCAGACCCACAGGAGAGAGGCTGTAAAAAATGGCTAGCTATGAACTGTCAAAGCCTGCTCTAAGGCTTCAGCCACCGGAGCTCAAATTACAGTGTCTTCACAGGAAAGTGTTCTCACTCCTGTCATCTAAAGAAACATGCTCCATACCTTTTAGCAGGTATCATGCCACTGGAGAGAGGCCTGGAATTGGTATCACACTTGTTAGGGTGGTGCTGAGGCTGATCAGAGATAACTGATAACTCCAAGTGAAAACTAATGGGCTGGGGTTTGGTTTAGCACCAGCCACTGTGTGAATAGATGTGTGAACTCAGAGCCAGGAATATTCCTTACCAGTAGCCTGTGTCCCTCCAGAAATCCCATGCCCTGAGACTCTGCAGCTGAGAGGACACCACCTGCTGGACATGAGGTCAGAACAAGATTGGTGCAGCTGCTGCTCAGACAGTCTCCGAGTCTGGTTCCACCAGGCAAACGTCCATCCAGGTGGGCTGTGCAGTGGACCACACTGCTCAGGTACTTGGAAGCAGGCTGTGTTAGCATTCAGGTGCTCTCTGTTGCTTTCTGAAGCTGTTTCCAGTTTTTGCCCTTTCTCCTACAAACTGAAACGATGGGGCTTTTTGTTTTTGAACTGTTAAATGGTTTTAAATGACACAAAAAGGTTTCCATCCAATATCGACCAGACAGACATTTACAAGTGACAATCAAGAGAGTGGAATAACTCTTGAGCCGTGCATTCAGATAGTGTCCTATGAACAATAGTATTATCAAATCCAACATTATCCCCTCAGAGGCTGCAGCATGCCCAGTCCAGGCAGTTCTGAGATTATGTCAGCTCACTCTCAAGGGACATAAACCAAACCACAAACAACTTGTGCACTGGAAGATAATTGAGAGTGATACCCACTGAGGGCAGGGATGTAGGCTCCCAAATTCTCTGAAGAGGAGAACACGTTCTTGTATTTATTAAGTTCATCAGTATTTCTTATTTCTCTGCCTAGCTAAATCACAGTGCCTTGGCATTGCATCTTGGCTTAACTGATAAACTTCTTCAATAAAATTAGGGCTAAACGTGTATTTGCATTTTAAAAAATTACAGTTGTTCATTAATGAAGAATGTCAAAAAGTGATCACTGTGGTGGATAGACAGTGTGATAAATAGATGAAATTTTGGAATCACATTATCACCTGCTCCAAGCTTTCAAAGATCATGTCTGTCCCCAGAAATCCATAAATACAAAATATTAGCTCTGCTTTCTTTCTGAGTATCTCAAGCTTTTGTGTGTGCCACAATTCACTGTCTTTAGAAAGAATAGTCTATGAAAAGCCTGCAGTTCTCAATAAAAAATATTAATGCCAGAGTTGAGGCTTTAAGTTTAATATATTAACACTGTTAATAACATCAGGTGCTTATGGAGCCCTGCTAGAAACAGTCACCGTCAAACATCAGTCTCCAGTTACTCTTTGAGAAGCCTGATTCCCATGATACCTGTTTAATGGGGGTCATGTATAGTTCTTTTTAAAGAAGGCAGTATGGAATATTAAGTCAAATGCCTTACTGCAGCTTAAATAGGTACATATATGTAGCTACCTTTATTCTCCAAATTGTGTCCCTCTCAAAAAATGGCATCAGACATTTTTCACCATACCTGTCTTTCTATAAAACCACACTGTCTGGAATTAGTTTTTCTGTCCTTTGAAATACTTTTTCAGTTGTATCTTATCTTAGCTTTAATTCCATGATTTTGCCTGGGCCTGAGGTCCATTGCCCTGCCTTACAGTGACCTGGCTTGACCAGCTCGCAGTCTTTGAGTACTGGGACACTAGGGTTCTTCCAGCCTCCTCAAACTTCCCTGCTATTCCAGGGATGGTTAACGATTAACAACAGCTGGACAGAGTTCTCCTCAGACCGTCTCCAGGTCTCTGGGATGCAAGTTCTCCAGCTGATTTTAAAATATGGATAGCTAGGTGATGATATTTAGCTACCAAATGGACTGGAAAGAAAACATCCTGTTTTGGTAAGAGTATTTTTGTCTTGCTTCTGTCAAACAGAGAGAAGAGAGGTGTTTTGAATATACCTGCATCATAGCAAAGAAAACCTCAAATCTGCCTGCCTGTGGTGGGCCTGTTCCTGAGATTTTTGGGTTTTGTTTTGGTTTTTTGAATTACCATTAAGCAAAATTCCTGTTGTATTAGTCTTGCCAGGCACAAATAATTTAAAGTTTCATTCAATCAATATAAATTTGAAGCTATAAAGTTTTTATTTCCCTTCCTCCAAAGTATTAAAAATAAAATTACTTTCCTTTTCATCCCATTTACTTTATCTTGTTTTTTAGATTTTGGTTGTTACATTTGTCTGATCACTGAAACACTGGCTTTTAGTCAAAGATGTCTTCTTTCTCATCTCTAAAGCCATGGCTCCAGGACTTTTTCATAAGTTTTCCATTTTCATTCTCACTTTTGGGTTACATTTTCCTTCCTAATGTAAAGTTCCTCCCCACCCTTGAAGCCCTAAGGATGTAGTAGTAGTCGGGATCTTGTGTTCAGCTATACTGAATGGAACTTACTGCTTCTAGGCCAGGACTCATCTGCTATTTATTAAGGGTGAAGTTTGGGAAGCTGCTGGGAAGAAGGCTCAGGGAGGAGGAGGCAGGTTGCACGATGCTGTTCTCATAGCATCGCTCCCTCCACCCTACCACTAACTAGATTTTCTGGCAGAACCATACATCTTTGTATTGTTACTATTTGTACACTGGAAATTTCCTGCTACCATAGTCCTACCCACTCCTTTTTAGGTCTGTCCCATTTTCTTCTTCAGATCCCCACCAGCCCTTGGGGCTGTGCCTTGCCTTTTCCCAACCCCAGTGTCAGGGAATCTTACCCAAGCATCTCTCTTGTTCTTGTCCCCAGTGACACCCATTCACAGTCACATGAAGCTCATCCCTCCTCTCCTTCCAAGGAGCAGCCATGACAGTTCCCTTCACCCTTGGTACAGAGCAAGTCATAGCAAAGTTTCTAGTTTCCTCCTTAAAAATCCAGTTAAAGAACCAAGCTTAAGGGCTGGACTGAAAGTCCCATCTTGAGGGGGAAAGAGAAAGTCACCACATATCAACCACAGCTCACACTTTGACACTGTTGGTCATGCTCCATTTCCAGGTAAGGACATGATTCTCATGGTGAATAAAGAGGGCTGAAACCCAAAAGCATCTCTCATGCTGGATTCAATGTCTTTTGTGTTTAAAGAATCATGTTTTGTATTTTTAAAAACTTTGATAATGTACTTCCTTATGAAACTGCTGCTATCTCTCTTCCAAACAGATATCCCTGATAACTGTATGGTTTTTTTTAATCTCTATACATTACAGACAAGTGATTGTAGGGAGCCAGATAGAAGAAAGCAGTTCCAATGGTGAACAGCCTCACTGCGATGATCTCAGTAGCCCATACTCAGATGTGGTTGCTTCTCAAACACCTACCTCCCTTTCAAATGAAACTGGCATTCATGGAAGGATCTGAGCTGGAGTTAAAACTGGAACAGGTTAAACAAAACCGGCAGTACAGTTCTCCTGACTGCAAAGTTCACTGCTGTGACTGTCTATTAAACGCTGATACCACAAACCTGAATTAATTCAGGAGAAGAAGAAAAATGTCTTTCAACAAAGGACAAACATGAAAAATCCTGGATGCATAAGAGGAAGTCTTAACAACCATATCTGAGCAATGTTGCTGGAGTTACCTGATCAGCATTTTAGATGAACATTTTAGATCCTGATGATGATGATGATGACGACTGTAAAATTTCTCTGTCTTTCTTAAGTAAGGATTTGGAGTCAGACTCCTCTCCCAGTTAAGTGGTGCAAAGGGTGTGCTGCTGACTGAGTGGTTCTCTTTAAGACCCATGTGGCTGACAGCAGATTTACTCCTCTTGTGGGAAGTCTATACCAGTTATGCCCTGAATCCTGTAAAGAGTTCACCTGAAGGCACACTGAGTCCTGTTATCCTCGGGGGTGTCTCTGCAGCATCAGTTTTCACTGCGTTGTCTTGCTGTGAAAGCAAGAAGCATCCCACTGATCTTACTGAACAGGCAGCATCACCAACATTGTTTATGTATCATGAGAGCCACAAGTCATGCACTTCTGCTTCTATCCTCAGGTCACACTCATCAGTTACATCTTAATGATACCTGCACTTGGTTATCCTCTGAAAATGAGCAACAGTGTCAAGTGCAACATTGACAATAAAACTTTGCTTTTAGAAGGGTTACAATTTGCTTCACTAACTTAAAGCTCAGCAGTTCCCTCAATGATTGAGTATGCCTTTTTATTTACTTTGTTATTGCAAAAAATATTTGGGCTACTTAAAATTTGTTAAAACACTGTTCACCTAGAATGGCCTTTAAAAAGCTAATGGCGGCACTAATTATCTCAAGTAAGTGTCTTACTGAATAAAGTCATTAGCTTTACCTACTGCCTGTAAATGCAGTTTTGCTAACAATAACTGATTACTTTTTGCTTCCATTTTGATATAGTAGATGGAAAAGAAACTGTTAATATCGAACAGTCTTGAAATGGTATCTGTTAGTTACCCAGGCATTAGAGAGTGTTTACCATATTTGGTATCAAAGGGAAATGCTGGCAAAACCACAAAATCAACATTTTATTTCTGCACGAGTTGTCTGCTTTCAGCCTCGACTGACAAGTAGTTTAACAGAAGCTACAGCCCTCCATGAGAGCCACAGCAGCTTTTTGGTGAGGTGGAGAGGACGGGTTTAGCTCAGCTGGAGCAGAGTCAGAAGGGCCACTCGCACTCCCTCTCTCTTCAGTGGCCTCTGCTCTCTCCACCTCTCCTCACATGTGGAGCTTCGCCAAACCCAGGCAGGACAAGACAAAGGTCCACGAGAGGTTGAGGTACACTTAGAGCTGAAGTAAGCATGAAGCTGAGACTGCAGGGTTGAGATGAGGAAGGCAGCAAGGGTTGGAATGGATTTTAAGACTGCATAGCTAGTTGCTGGGCTGAGAACAACACAAACTTTATTTGAAGCTTGAGAAGCTTAGGAATTCCACTTCCCAGAGCAGGCAGCAAAAACTCCTACGGTGAAGCACTGCCAGAGCAGCCTTATGCTGTGTGCAGGGAATGTGGGCTATGATGTTACCAGAGACTGGGTGGGCTGGGCTGTGTTAAAAATGTCTTAAACAGAAGAGACAGACCAAACCTGGTGGCATATGTTTATATTGTGGGGTTTTTTTAATCTTCAAATTTTTTAATCTCTGAGATAAACACTTCTACAGTTTGCTTTTTGAGCAAAATACTACGGGTGTTGGGCTTGGAAACCTGTCAAGGCATAAAGTCTGTTGAGTCAGACTGAGTCATGGGCAAAGGGAGAAAACAAGGAAAGGCTGCAGGAACTGAGGGTGCCACATGGACAGAGATGTATCAGAGAACCAAACATTTCCACTGGTCAACTCAGATGGCCACAGCAGCCTTCCTCTCCCCTCAGACACCTTTACCTTTTCCTGGAGCTGAGGTAGTTCTCACAGGAGACATGAATCAACTCCCTCGTTGGCACCAGCTCTCCCGCTGCAAACTGGGACAGTTTCCTTTAACCCCACTGCAATCACACAGAATCATCAAAGACAATCTGAAGAGAACCCAGACATCTAGACCCATTTCCCTCCTCAAGGATGCAGCAACTGCATTTCAGTCATTCCTGCCATGTCCATCTACACTGAGCTAGAACATCTCTCCTGCAAGTTCTGCACTGCCTGCCAGTGCAGTCTGATCTGGCATCCTCCTCCCTGACCCACAGCAGACTCGTATCACAGTGATTTTCAAGAATGGCTTTTCTACACATGGATTCCAAGGGAATTTCTGAAAGATGTGAATATTCCCATTCGTAACAACTGGTGTTCTTATACTAGTTGGACTAGAACATGACTCAAAGTACATAACCACTGAAGACTTGTCCCCTTTCAAATTACCTGGAAATGGAAGGCATATAGTATGAAGTATATAAAGAGTAATAAATAATATATAAAATGCAGACCTACCTTATAGCACCTAACTTGGGAGGAGGGGAGCGGGGAGGAGAGAGAAATGCATTTCCTTCTGTGACATTTCTGTACATTCCCATTTCAAGGCTCTTCCAGTGCTTTGCTCTTCACAGTGAGCACCTTATTGCCCCTTCCCCCAGGGTCCTCCATTAACAGGGGCCTTTCTTCCCTGTGTGCTCTGCACCATTCATGGTGGTTGAAATGCTGCACCCACCAGTCAACAAACTGTGACCCAAATCAGCTCAAGCTGCTGCTTCAAAGACAGTTGACCTCTATAAAAATCTTGCCCTAAACCACTACCCCCACAAAAGCCACAACATTCTGGCCAGTTGCTCATGCTACATGAAGTCCTCTCCTGCTAAGGTGTCAGATGTCCTCATCTGAGCACTGGCACCAGCAGCCCATTGCTGAGATCCATTCCAAATCCTCAGGAGCCTCACCTGCAACTCAGACTCTCCATGGTCTACATATGTAGGAGGCACAATGTTCTTCTAGGCTGTTGACTTCACCGAGTTTTTGTGAGTTTTGAGTAAAAGGCTTAAAAGGCCTGTCCTGGCAACAGCGTCTGTGAGGGCAGCCCAGACCACTGGGCCTGCTGCAGAGCGCTCCAGAGCTTCAACCCCATGGTTCTCATCACAACAGCATCAAAGTGAGTGACTTGTGTTAAACTGTAGAAACTCCTTGTTTTAAAATGTAGGCCCATATATAGAGCAAGTTTTCCATTTCCAAATGCTCTCCACAATTTATTTTAATCAAGCTTAATTTCTTAAAATAATGACTCTATATAATTTAAAATGCATTTTGAATATGTTGGCAGTAATTCACACACACAAATCATTCAACTGCTAACTATGTATGGATTTTAAAGATATTTAACCATAATTTCCAGAAGGATTTCATAATAATCTTTTTGTCACATTACTAGAATATGTTAAAGCTTAGAGACAGTGAGAGATTAAGCCTTATTTTTAAAAGTTCCCAACTGCACAGCTACATTCTCTTTACTGATAAGCAAATACAAGCTATGTATCTTTTATTAGACAAGCTAGTAGCTTTAAACTGACTGTGCATTTGCATTCACCTTCTGTTTCCAAAACTACCACTTAAAAAGACGAAAAGAAATGCATATGAACAATCCTCCAACCCTGAGTATTTTGCTAATAGTATTGGAGATACTAAAGAAATATTACAAGCTAGGGAGAAAGTACTCACTGCAGGGCCTTCCTGAATACTTAAGGCCATCAGAAGATCATAATTCGAGTGTGAACCCGTAGGATGGATTCATGTGCAATTGGTCAGGATCTAGATGCACTACTGTAAGGAAAGCATACCAACATGCATGACTGGCCCTAGTCACAGTCATGGTCTCCTGACAGTGCTTTCCACTTCTATAGCACCGTGCATCTCCTTAGCTAAAGCCCGCTATAGGCTTGAAAGTTACCTTCCTTATTTTAGCAGTGACAAAACTGCATTCAGGAATCACTGTCTCCGTCCACAGAGAGATACCAAGGTGTACAAATAGCCGTTTAAGCAGAAATAATTTAGCATGCCTGTCTGCATCTGCAGTGCCTATTTCTAGAATGAGATCTTGATACTCAAGAATCACTTGTCTAATGGGTTGAAAAAAAAAAAAAAGTAGAGCTAATATTTTGTATTTATGGATTTCTGGGGACAGACATCATCTTTGAAGGCTTCAAGTAGGCGATACTGTGATTCCAAATTTTCATATAATTATTGCACTGTCTATCCACAGTTGCACAATTTATTTTTTTAACCAAACACGGACAAAGGGCATGTGAAAGGCTATTGCAAGGCATGCAAGCACACACCCAAAAACTACAACTTGCTGGAGAGTGTATAACAACTGGGTTGTGGCATTTAGGATTTGGGTTTTGTTACTTTATTAAGGGATGGGAAGGGGCTACACCACCCTTACATATTTTGGTGGGTTGCCCTTGGCTGGCTGCCAGATGCCTACCCAGCTGCTCTCTCACTCCCCCTCAGCAGGACAGGGGGGAAAACGGGATGAAAAAGTTTGTGGGTCAGGGTCGTTGTGCCTGTTTTGGGTTTTTTTTTAAATTAAAGAAGTTTTTTTCATCAAAGATTTCCTGATGTCAGACCCTAGGGATTTTATATGACACAAAATTTAGCCTCTAATAGGCTTGCAGCTTTAAGAAATATGTGTTATTTTAAAATTGTCTTTATATTTATTTTTTAGGACAAGAACATTTAGATGTAGAAACAATCCTCATTATTTGCATCTCACGTTTTTTTTATTAAAAAACGCCCAAAGATCATAAGGAGTGTGCATTTCTGATTTTTTCCCTGTACAGAGTTTGTACAAAGTACCTAGGCACTGCACATATTCATGAGTGAATTTAATAAATCCTGGTTTACATTTCAAAGGTTCAAGTTCAGACTCTGCATGTTTGCATATCTGGAATGATATGTTAAATTGCCCTTAAGGCCACATTCAAGAAATATTTATCAGATTTCACAGAGAATTTCCAATAAAGAACATGTATAATCAATGAGCAGCAAGTCATTTGGGTTTTAGTTCCATCTCTCATCTTTTCAGAGTGAAGATGGGCCTTCGTTGCAAGTCCCAGCAGTGGTGGTCTGGGCTTTTTTTAATTAAAAAAACCCAACCAACCAACCAAAAAAACAACACCCAAAACCCAGCAGAAGGGAGAATAAAACCAGACCAGCTCAGATATAAATGCTTTCAAAAGCTATTTAATTTAAAACCAAGAAGAATCACAGACCATCATGATTCCAGTGTTCAGTCATCTGTTCATGCTGGTTTTGGTATTATGTATCATGAAAGAAACTGGATTCTTTAAGAAATAGTAAATCATTGTGGCTAAAATCGCTGCTTACTTGTTCATTGCACTTATACCACATTGTGGTGAAGTTCTGCAGTTTGTCTTCCCCATCTTATATTGGAGAGAGGATAGAGTTTAACTACATGGGGACTGAAATACAGTCCAGAGGCAATGCACTAATCAGTCTTTTTTGGTTCTTCATAAAGTTACAATTGTAATAAAAATTATATAAATAACATTCAGTGCTCCATACTGTTCAAGAAAAGGGAAATTATAGCTTTAATGTTTCACTGAGATGATGAATACAATTTTCCCCATCTGAGTTTGCACACAGTAATATTGATCTTTATGACAAAACAAGTTAGATTTGTATGGAGAACAGTTCAGGAGGGTTTCATGGCTCGCAGCAATGACGGCAGAGCATATAACATTAAAGATTAAGTGTCAATTCACTGAATTAATGCCCCAATGTAGCCAAGTAAAGGGTTTTGCAAAGAGGCATAATACTTTCTTCTCCTTGTTTATGAGTTTCCAAGTCATCATTGTTTAATTTATCATCTGTACTATTGCAGATCAATTTGACATGGGTTATTAACATATCTGGCTCCTGTGCTCCAAGCCATACGTCCCCAATGTAAACAGAAGTCAGGAATACACAAACAGCTGTAGAAGAAAAATTAGAGAAAAATCAGAACAGATATTCTATTTCCACACAGTAATATAACACCAAACCATTTCACCTCCAGATCTATGTTTCAAAATAGTTTCCTAACTTTTTCTAGATGGAAAATTTGTGGAGTTTTTGCCCATGCAAAGCCAATGATCTGCCTCACACTAAGGGAAGAGAACAGTTTCTTGTTAGCACAACCTTCTGACTTATTTAAATAAAAAAGTTTAAAATCTGACCTGTGGCTTTTGATATCAAACGATAACAGTGAAGATATGGATCAGAACCCATACCCACAAGGACTCCTTTGTTGCAGACTATTTTTCCCCTTGGAATTATATTTTTCATACCTCACTGAACTCCATTTTAGTCCTAGAAAGGAAAATTTCTTTGAGAGAATATGACTGTTTTACTATCAGAAACCCCTACAGTGTAACCCTAATCTGTGCTACCAACCCCTGTGCAGATATCAACAAAGACACAGCTTTTACTTTTGAAGTTATGAGCACCAATGGGCACGGGCAAACTTCAGACTGTTTTGATTAATTAAGAAAAACATGGAACTACCTACTTTCTACCATTACCACCTTGTAATGTGAGTGAAAAGATGAGTTACCTTTCTTGTTCACACCCTCTTCTGCCATTGCTGAGAGGCACAACGTTTTCACAAGTTCATGAAAGCTGTTGTTGGTCAGGCCCTGAGCATCCATTAGATGAAGCATGATTGAACTGAACAAACAGACCTCCTTAAAGAGTCCATCCATCCCACTGCTGGCCTCACAGATTTGGCTGTACAACTTGAAGATGTTGTTTCTCAGTGTCTCATCTCTGAGCACCTCTTGCACTGCCACTGGATGTGGCAAGACGCAATTTTGTAGCCACCGCAGAGTTAATGAAACATTTTGCATATTGAGGCTGTGCTCAACCATGGACTTCAGGAGCCATTTAGTTACTATGTAAGTGGATGCACAGCTCAGACTGACTGTTTCATCAGCAAGGTCAGCAGATTTGAGGGGCTCCCCATGGTGTTGGCTAGGTGGTGCTGGGAAAACAGGCTCCCAGTGGGCAAATATGGAATTCAAATGATCTCTGCATTTCTTCAGCTCAGAGACCTTCAGGTCTGCAGCAGTGTCATGTTCCCTTTCTATCTCATTCTTTTTCTGAATGTGATGATATGTACGAGATGAAGCTTGAGATTTGTTCCTTTCTTTAATATTTTCTGTAAGAAGAAAAACACCACCAAAACAAACATCAGATACTCCAAAGGATTTTCTTGGTACAAAATCAAGCAAGAAAGATGGTATCATGTGTTGTTTCAGCTGCTAAAGGGGTAAGCACCAGCCTCATTTAGCAGCCTAATTGAGCCTATGCAATTCAGGGCAAATGGGCTACAGGCAGCTCCTGGTGACTCATAGGCTGAAACACTTTTCTGAACTGGATCACCTAACTCTGAAGAGAGCGATAATGT